TTAATTAAAAAACATAAATAAATTTACAAGAAGTTCTAACTAGCTTAAAAATTAAATAAAATCAGGTCAATAAAATCCGCACTGGATCGGCGCACGTCATCCACACAAATATCACTATTACGGCAGTGGTAGAAAAACAATCAAACTGCTAACAGAAGTGAAATTATCAAAAATACAAGGAAAGTAAGTGGCTACTGTCATACAAAATCAGTTCTGTTAGCATTTTGAAGAAAAAGAAAAATCATTTAGCTCTAAGATCTACAGTTTCAAATCCTGATTCAGGACTAATTTTAGGAGACGACAATTCCGGTGGTGTTTCTCTAGACAGTGACGCCCTCTTATGTCTCGGCGGAGGTACGGGCGCGGGAGGAGCAGCCTTCGACTTTAGGAGATTCTTGATCCTCATTCCTCCTCTATAGTAATATAGATAAATACCAGCAAAGACTGCCACAGCAACCAATAACGCCACAACGGCTACAACCACACCGTACCACGAACTTCTAGTCGATTCTTCCGGCGTTGGTACCGTAGGTCTCCTGGCAGGAGGTACGTATGACGGTCTTGGCCTCCTTGTAGTTGTAGCAAAGCTCTTTCCTATGGCAATATCGGCGCATGCCCGAAATTCTTCCTGATGACCGCATCCTATAGCTCCAGTTCCATTTTCACAGTCTCCCCAATTGTTAGCAGCCATATATCGCCATTGCAAGACACAATGGGCACATTCCAAGTCCTCTGGTAGTCGATATTTCATTTCATAGATTTTATTTCCATCTTTAGGATAAAACTTTGTACCATCTCTCCCATCAAATTTAAGAACATTTTTGTCTAAACATTCCTGTGTAGTATCTTTAGGATCGTCACAAACTCTAAATTCGAAATAACCATTGTGGTTAGCTGTTAACTCGATCTTGATTGTGATAGCGTCTTTGGGTGAATATCTTCTTACTATTACACCTTTTCCAAACCGTCCTCCTAATTCGTGAGCTCTTGGAGTTGGAGCATCCCAAGCATCACCACATACTCCACATTTTCCTTTATTTTTTTGCCATTGTCTTGAGAAGCCCCCGCAGAACAATTCATGATCGTTGTAATTGTGTGGTGTGTCGAAGCCGTATCTCCAGGCTGATGCCCTCGATGGAGGTTCAATTAGCCTTCCATGGCCATTGACAGTGTTCCATGTGAATGGGAGAATGGCGAGACAGCACCACGCGAGTGCCTGGAAAGACGAGAACAATACTTTAATAAATTGACTAGAACAATACAAATAACCTCGGCGTCCAAATTTCAACTAAATTGCGGATGATAAAAAGGTCGGGATAAAAGTACCAAGGCCCGTTTACGTGTGTCTTTTTAAGATTGATGCTAATAGAGGTATGTCTGGAGACGACGGGCGGAGGTCCATAAGCTCGTACTCCAGCGCGTACTTAATGGTAAGTATGTATAAATAACTGCCTCCGTAGCCGAACGGATATCATGCCGGACTGCCACGCAGAGGTCCCAGGTTCGATTCCCGGGCCGGGAGAAATAGTTGTATGGCCTACAATTATTTCTCTCGTGAGTTTGGGTGTAATTTGTGGTTGTCTATGTGTGTGTCCATGGCACCCGCGACACAGGGCTTCCCTAGTGCGGGGCTATGTTGAGTGTGTGCGTTATTTATTTATTTATTTATAAATAAATAACATTTGATAACAAGTTGTGAGGAAAGAGGCCAAACCAAGTTTGAACAGATGTTAAGCTCCCATTCGTTGCAGCAGACGTGTTATATGATAGAAAAATAATGAAGTGTTTTGTTTATTTTCCTACGACTTACTGTTATACTTACGTACTCGTACGCCTAGGTATTTTAAAGAAACTGTGGATGGTAATTTTTAATGACAATGTGAAAGATTATAAAAGAATAATGTACAATTTCTTATCTTTAGATATTTTATGAGAAGAATAAATCTAACCGTACACTCTACTTTCTTTTCACAAGTTTGTTGTTTCCGAAGTAACTAGAAGAGTGTAAGTCTGGCGGAAGACGGTTGAGGCACGACTCAGAGGTCCAAGTTTCAAATTCCAGCGGCATGTACCGAATGCCTTTAATTACTAAGATACTACATTTGCCAATGTTATGCTGCAACACCTCTAGAAAATGGTGAACCTGCATGTCGGAGACGGTACCCAGTCTTTGGAAAACGTTGGGTTCCCAATTCTCATAGGGCCAGGGTGTCGGACCATGGCCTAAACCCTATTTTGAGAGTGCGTATTTTTGAGATATAATATATGGTGGACTCATGATGATGATGGATGGATGAATGGACGAGTTTACATATCCTAGTCAAGAGACTCAAAGTAAATTTTGATTTCCGCTACTAGAATACGCTATAGGGGTTTGTTTTGCCTTATTCTTTGTTATTCATTTTTAAATTGGCCGCCGTGGTCGAACGCGAAGGGTTCGAGTCCCGGGCCAGCAAAATATTTGAATGGTCTACGTTTATTTCTCTCGTGAGTTTGGGTTTATTTTATTTTATTTTGGGTTCATTTGGTATATTTGCTTTATTATTAATTCGTACCCACAGTATAATGAAACTCCATGGAATCATATGTCACAAGTGCTTTTATCGCATGAAGACAAACGTAATACGAACTACGTGAAAAATAGTGTATATATAGTGTACGCACACAGCGTTATTTAAAAAAACCTGTATCTTCATAAATAAATAAATGAATGAAACGTATATCAACGAAGGGTACTCTAAATATAATTTCTCGTAACAATAGAGCTCGGAAACGATAGAGGCGCGTGCGCAGCGACCGCTCGACCATACCAAATTGTATCGACGCGTTTCCTTTTCTTACATGAACCGTACGCGCATAATCGAGCTAGATATTTGAAAATAATATATGTATGTACATTGTGTTGCATGTTACTCGTATCTTAATGAAGGTGTGGATATTGTGAATGTGTGTTGCAAGTTTTACGACCTCGAACTTTAATAATAACAGGTGACGGAACGGACAAGTCGTGTGTCTGGTGTTAAGCGACACGCCTGTCCATAACAGTTGCAGTCTTTGTGATCAGAGGGGCACTACCACTGCGCCGGTCACCCTGAGACAAGTTAACAAGTCCCATGTGCCTGTAATTTCACCAGCACCTTTACCCTTCCAAACCGGAACGCAGTAATGCTTATTATTACTGTTTAATTTATTTTAACATTGTAGTTAGAGATGTGGCTCCTAAAACAATTTTACGATATTTAACACAAAATAAAATATTATGATGTCATGAAGTATTTATAAACCAATAAAAAAAAGCTGAAATCTGAGAATAATTAAAAACAATCTACCAGCTAGGAATAATTAAAGATGTCGCAACCTCCGATCTTAAAACGCCAAGTTTAAAAAAACTACCTATTGTTAAAACGCTAACTTGTTAATCAGGATAACAAATTACCAACAAGATAGGCAAATGCAAAGATGGTGTTAATAAGCTAGCAAACAAAAATATCGCGACGACGTAAGGTCATCGTGCCATTCTGTGGTGCCATTGTATTGAAATTCATGTAATTATCCGCTATCGAATGCTGACTTAGATACATGAGTATCTACTTGGTAACAATACTGTATGAGAATCAGTGATATAGACATCGATAATTTTGCTGCAAAGGTCCATACATCCATTCATTCATTCAATAGTAATGGACCAGATCGTGTCAGTATAGTACCAGAGCCAATCCAGTGTCTTCCCTGGATTACCATGGCCATGGTCAGCAGGAACTAACCAGCAGATCGAGCTGGAGTTTCTTTACTTCAGAGTACTGTTAAGGTACAATTTTTTGGAATTATAAGGTTTAATAGTCATTAAATAAAAACGGGTAATTTGAAGTACACCCGCCATATTGACTGTAACTACGGCGGCGGGTGTATCTTTGAGACTTCGTTCCGATGGAGGTATATTTTTTTTTAAGAATAGGTACTAAATAGTACAATTTAGGTACATTTAATTTCGTACTAATCAGCAGGCCGAGTTGGCGTTTCTTTTAGTTTAGGGTACTATTAAGGTACACATTTTTGAAACAAAACGTTTTCATAGTTATTAAATAAAAAACTGGTAATTTAAGGTACACCCGCCACATTGAATGTCAATTTGGCGGGTGTACCAGGTGTACCTTTGATATTGCTATTACTTCGTTCTGATGGAGGTACAATTTTTTCAGTAGGTACTAAATATTACAATTTAGTTACTTTTTTTAGTACTAAATTTGTCAGGATTCGTTAACATACAACCGCATTCTGACTCTCCTCGACGTAGGTACCATTCATGTTTTCACCAGGATGACAAGCATTATAGTGTATCACATCGTTATGATAAGAAGAAGAAGAAGCAAATTGCGAAATTGCGAAGAAAAAGTGTTTTGTGCGAGTACGTAGATCCGTACGTTGTAAAGGTATGAAGGTCAATGACTTGCTTATGAAGTAGAAAACTTGTCTTTAACTCATACAAGTTAACATAAAAGGAAATTGTTCGTTTTTATTTTATAACAACATTCTAGTACGTTTTTCTGGAAGTAATTTTTTAAAACATTTTATGGACTTGGCAGGTAGGAATGCTGAGCCATATTCGAAGATATAGATAGATATAATCTATAGAGTTAGGTTTTCGCGATAGTTACATATCGATATATATATATATATATTAGACAACATCACAGACGTTACACTGATCCCAAAGTAGGTAGCTATACCACTTGTGCTATGGAAATCGGAAACAACGACGGTACCACAAACACCCAGACCCGAGACAATATAGAAAAGTTAGTTTTCTATCTCAGAGACGGCGACACCATAAAAACCGGTGTGCAAGCCACTCGACCACTGAGGCCGTCTAATTGGAACTGAAACTGTTTTCTTCCGAATAAAACACACATGTACATATTTGTTTTTTTTTTCAAACAAACCCGCTTTTCGGGTCCTTTACACGTCTTATGGTCACGGCTTGGTAAAGTCATCAACCAGTTGTGTTCTTTATTATTATGGTATTTTTTTAATGTTGTTTATATGTTCATCGTTACAAGCATAAAAAAATAATTTATTTACTTCAAATATAATCGTTAAACCTTTCTTAGTATGTATATAAAAATAATTGCGCATTTGACCTCCATCTCACCTGATGGAAAGAGACAATGAGGTTGATGACGAGGCATGCACATCCAAATAATCGCTATTCACTCTCGCCTTGAAAAGGACCAAGTTATAACGTTCGGGGAACACGTCCGCAGGCAGGGAATACCACTCCCTAGCCGCTCGCCATATAAATGTGGAAGCGAGGTTTCGTGCCGATTCTGGGAATAATCAAACTTAGGGGTGGAACCCCAGCCCACGTGTAGTCCACTCGATGATGGAAAGAGGAAGTCGGAATGACATCATGCAATTCAATCGCTCACTTTCCGCATAGAAGTTTCCTTGCCACCCATAATGGAAACTAACTTAGAAGAAAACTTTGTTCTTAAGAGATTACAACACTGTTTCAAATTCGGGTACTGTTAAATCGATTGCTATGCATGAGCCTTTAAAAAATATAGAAAAATTAGATGCTTATCTTATTATTCTTCTTATTGAAACCTGTCAAACCAATTCGAACTTGTTAAACAAGTTGTATTATAATTTACACAGAATTATAGCACAAAAACACTATAAATGTTTTTTTTAGTACGTTTTGAAATAATAAGTAACCACTGCGGTTGCTGCTTTGTGTCTTACGCGCTCGAGACTGAATCGCCGTAGACCTTTCTCCTGAAAAGTTGACATTTTACAGATGGGACCTTATTACACCAAAGTTGCGAATCTCAGGTAAACAACGTTATGAAATCTCAGACCTAACACCACTAATACTTTTTTTTGTTGTAGAGACAACACATCAAAAACATGCTCAGTACAATCGTAACAAAAAGACGATTACATAAATCGTTCCACTGAAATAGAAAACATTGAATGAAAAAATGTACGTACGAACAATATGTTCAATCTATGTTATAGTTCTCACAAAGTGATCGGTGTTATCCATCATCGTGAGTGGTTTAAGTTACGAAATATTTGGCTTATTGCAGACAGATTAACAAATAAGCAGTTCGCTAAAATAAGAGATGCAAAAGTGTCGGATAAGATTTTGAACAAAACACGAGTAAATACTTCTTAATTTATTCATTTTGTTCAACTTATATTAACAATACTAAT